GCGATTTCTTAACTTGATTGAAGAAATCCAACTATTTCTGGCGGAAAAGAAAAACGACGTCCCCGAACTCGACAACCCTGATTGGCTGTGTGACTTAGCGTTTCTTGTAGACATCACAAATCACTTGAATGTCTTAAATACGCGACTCCAAGGCAAAGATCAATTGATTTCGCAGCTATACTCTCATGTTTCGTCCTTTCAATGCAAATTGAGTCTTTTCAGGACACAAATCAATTCAGCCAATTACGGCCATTTTCCGAACTACAAAAAAATTATGGAGAAGTTCAATAAAACTGACGTCAATTTCGCTCATGTTGAAAAAATTGATATTTTGATACAAGCTTTTGAAAATCGTTTTGTAGACTTCAAAAAAGTTAAACCGCTATTAGACATTTTCAGCAATCCTTTCAACATTTCACCCGAATATGCGCCGGAATTAATGCAGCTGGAATTAATAGACATGCAAAATGATGATAATTTAAGAAACAAATTTAATGAAGGTAATTTACTCAACTTCTACCGTTGCGTTGATAAAAACGCTTATAAAGAGTTGCGAATAAATGCATTGAAATGCGCAAGCTTATTTGGATCGACGTATATTTGTGAACAAACGTTTTCAGTGATGAAACTTAACAAAACGAAAAACCGAAACCGTCTGGCAAATGAAAATTTGGAAGCAATTATACGTGTGGCTACAAGTAATGTGGAGCCAAATATAAAAAAACCTTGTTAGTTCAATGCAATGTCATGCATCAAAATAATAAAACATGAAATATTACATTGTAATGATTACATAATTATTACAACAAACATTTTTGAAGGTTATTTTATTTTTATCATTGTATTTCATACTATTTAAAAATAAAAAATGTTGTGTTAATAAATATTGTTTGTAGTGGCCCGTCCTTGGCTTATATTTTTTCCGAGTGGCCCCTGTTCCCTATAAGTCTGTGCATCCCTGATTTAGAGGTAAAGATATATTTTAATAATTATTGCCGGCTTAATGCATTGAATTTTAGATTTTGTATGTTTTTCTCATTACTTATTTAATGTTGCAGATGGAGGATCCCGACATAGTGCAATAACTCATTGCATCCATTATTTTATCTGCAACGACTGAGACCTTCAACTCTGTAACTGGCAACGGATTTCAGAGATTGATTCGAGAGTTAGCACCAGCTTACAAAATTCCACATCCAGATACGTTTAAAGCTAAGCTTGAGCATAAGTATGATACTTTGAAGATCGTATACCAAGAAAGACTGAAGGGTACTTCAAATATTTCTCTAAGTTGTGACATTTGCACAGAATCCATAACGTCAAAGAGTTTTCATGCCATGCCAATATATTGGAGAGCAGCTTGAGGATATTCTGTTATTGTGGAACATAGTTAAGGAACAAATAGTGGCAGTAATAACGGACAATGGAAGTAATATCGTGAATGCTGTAACGAATGTGCTTGGGAAAAAAAGCACATTCCTAGTTTTGCTCACACAATTAATTTAGGTGCTGAATGTATCATCAATGATCCATCATTTTCACCTATTCTCACAAAAATCCGTGAAATAGTCAAATGGGCAAAACGTAGCGTTGTTGTGAGTGACAAATTGAGGAAATTACAGCTGCAATCCGGGATTTCAGAGGGAAATGTGAAGAAACTTATACGTGATGTAAAGACACGGTGGAATTTAGTGTATCATATGTTTGATCGCTTCATAGAAATGGCCTCACTCATCAACCAAATTGTCATTGATGATGTAAACGCCCCTATAATGCTTTCTGCAGCGGAACTTGACTTAGCTAGACAGATAAAACTGCTCTTAATACCATTGGAATTTGTAACAAGAGAAGCTTCGGGAGAGCTTTATGTCGCCATTTAAAAAACCATACCAGTGATAAATTGTCTAAAATTACAAGTTCAAGAAATTCAGTCGGAAATAGAAATTGTTACTGCATTGAAAAAAAAAAGAATGCTTGCCGAAATAACCAAACGGTTTGGACAAATCGAACAGTGTTCTCCGTTGTCTGGCCAATTTACTGGATCCCCGCTTTAAAAGAATTAATTTCCAGGATCATCTTTTCTGTTCCAGGTCTATAGAGTTTTTAAGAAAAATAATTTCTGTGCTGGTCGATCATCGAACTTCAAGTGAATCTGATGATTCAATCGTCCTCCCAGCAAATGAGGAATACAATTTTTAAAGTCATCATAAAATGTTAGCTCATAGTCATAAACGTAAGAAATCCCATCATCTTCCCGACGACAAGTTTGAAATCAAACGATTCTTTGATCTTATTTCTTATATGGGCATTGTAAAAATGCCAAACATATCTTGTTATTGGACTAAAGAAAAAATGTGGCAATGCCTGCAGCATGCATAAGTCGAAACCGTTTCGAACTTCTTCGTATGGTACATTTTGCAGACAACGAAGGAAGCACTGTAGATCGGTTATATAAAGTACAACCAGTTGTGGACAAAATTCAAAAAATTATCCAAAGTGTATACGAGCCTTCAGAATCTGTATGCGTGGATGAATCTTTAATTCCTTTTAGGGGAAGGCTTCTCATGGGACAGTATATAAAAAACAAGCGCCACCGATATGGCATTAAGTTGTTCAAGTTATGTAGCTATGGTGGTTTTACATACAGTATGCAAATATATGCAGGTAAAAATTTAGAATGCCAAAAAACAACTCCTACAAGTGTAGTGATAAATCTTTGTCAACCGATTCTAAACTGTGGTCGAACTGTTATTACTGACAATTGGTATACGAGTGTTGACTTGGCTTCCAAATTACTAAACAGTCAAACGCACCTCGTAGGTACACTTCGGAAAAATCGAAAAGCTTTGCCTACAGAAGTTATTAGTAAAAAATTAAAAGGTGGTGAACAAATCATTCGGGAAAATGCACAAGGGATTTCTGTTTTAAAATGGCGTGACCAGCGCGATGTCCTTTTATTATCCACAAAACATTCAGATGCGGTAGTACCGACTAAAAATCGCGTCGGTAATATCAAGCATAAACCAGAAATGGTCGTATACTACAACGCTGGCAAGTCCGTAGTTGACCTTTCAGACCAAATGAGGTCATATCAATCACCACTACGAAAATCAGTAAAGTGGTACCGAAAATTAGCAATTGAAATAATTTTGAATTTTGGTAAATGCTTGGATTATGAATAAAGAAGTGACTAAGGAAAAGTTGCCACTTTTGAACTTCCGAAAACGAGTTACTTGCAAGTTATGTGAATCCTATCCTTCAGAAAATTTAGTTGAATCTACTGTAAAAAAAATACGAAAACGTCATGAAATAGGAACAAAGCCGTAGAACAAAAGACGGCCATGTATCAAATGTTACGAGAAAGTGAGAGCAGAGAGCGATCAAATGAATGCTGCTAGAACTGATGCACCAACTAGGGAGGAAATTCAACAGGATATAGAGAGATTACGTAATAATGGAAACCGCAAAGCTACATACCTTACAGCAAGCGAACGGGTTTTAAGAAAAGGAACCCGTAATTTAGGTGCACTTAATCGTACATGCGAATACTGTTTTACTTTCAAGCAGAGACTACATTTCGTTACCAGTATACAAAATGCTGCCAACAGTGTAGTTTTGGAAAATTTTCCACCTGTGTCTGAACTCTTAGGCCTGTATTCATAGTCAATCCCTCAAGTTGAGTGCCGAGGGCGACTTGCTTGGGTCCCTCAACACGCACACTTCCACTTGTGTCATAAACAACACTGGTTTGTCCCTTAAGCCGCGTACTGACTTGAATCTGCATGCGTTGAGTCGAGGCACATGCACATGCATATTCAAAACTGGACGTGCCATTCGCAACGACTCAGCGCATGTTTAACTTCTCGCGAGTCACCACGAATGCACATGACATGAGCCGTCGGCTGTCGGTCTTTTGCTCGGCTCAAAGGAAATATATCGTGTGTGTGTGCTCAGTGTGGACCGGTTTTTGTAGTCTGCAACAGTCTGCATGCATGCGTCGCGCGATTAGCAGTAGTTTTTAAATAGACGTTTTCAAAAAGGCCAAATGGAGTGGTCTAACGAAGATTGCTTGCAATTAATTGATTTATACGAACAACATCCCGTTTTGTGGGATGCAAAGCATTCCTTCCACTTCTCTAAAAATAAAAAGATAGATGCTTGGGATGAAATAGCGGATAAGTTAAACCGGCATGTAAATAATGTAAAAAAAAATGACTAGTTTATTGGGATCTTTTCGTTCCCAGAAAAGTAAGGGCAAGAAAACTATTGGGACCGGAAAAGGTAATTTATTGTGGGTATACAATATACATAAAATTTAAACATGAAATAAAAAAATATGTTTTATTAAATATTATGTAATTTGCAGGGAGACAGGAAATTTATGTTTCCAAGTGGTTTGCATTTGAAAGGATGCAGTTTCTCCTCGATAAAGATGAACCAAAGGGCACATTCGACACAGAAAATGTAAGTATAAATAAATGTTTTATTATATTAAACTTTTATATTTTTACGCATGATCGTCTTGCCAAATAATCCTACCATTTGTAAGAAAGTACTCGCTAAATTCTTGTCTGATCATCTTTGCATTTTCGGGTGATCTGCGTGGAACATTTGTAAGTGGAATCAGCGATGATCCGTTGTTATTCGCATTTTGTCTCCAAGTTCCTTGATGTATTTGGCCATCACTTTCATAATCGAAACTCCCAGGAGGTGCATACATATATTTTGCGATAGTTTGGATCTTCTTAAAAAATTGTGTAAATATGTCACTGTTAAAACAATAATTTTAGCCTTTTCTGGTTCAAGTAACATGTGTTTTCTCAAAACCCTAAAAACCGAGGAGGCGATGCCAAAGGCATTTTCAACAACTGGACGGGCCCTAGAAAGTCTATAATTAAAAATTCTTTCAGGTGATCCCTTTCTATGGGTTCCTGAATATGGCTTTATTATACTTTCCATTAATGGAAATGCCTCATCACCAAGGATTACATAGGGCATTAAGCGATTTCTTTCGGGTAATGCCGCATTTTCAGGTAGATTTAATGTGTTACTTTCAATTAGTTTGTGCAATTTACTATGTCTAAAAACGCCGCCATCTGATATACGTCCCTGACATCCAACATCCACAAATAAAAAGTTATAGTTGGCATCTACCAAGGCGAATAAGACAATACTATAGAAAGATTTATAGTTGTAATAATCGCTTCCACTGCCGATAGGACATTGAAGCACCACATGTTTTCCGTCCATAGCTCCTATGCATACTGGAAAGTTCCATAGATTTCAAATTCCTTGCTTACTCGTCGCTACTCTTCAGGGGTTTTTGGCATCTGAAATAAAGAAAATGTGTTCTAATACACCATTACACAAGATTTTTTGATGAATAAATACTTTGTAAATTCAAGATTCTATTCTAAAAAACTCAGTAAAAATTATTTAAAAAAAAATTTGGTTGTTGCATTCTGATTGAGCGTTTAGACAAATGTATTCATTTCTTTATTTATTTGCAGGAAGAGTTTAATGAAAACACTTTTTCCCAAGTGGAAATCCCAGAGAACAGTACAGAAGCTCCTCTGGAATCATAAGAAACCGAACAGGTGGTCACTTCCCGTGACGAATTGTCAGTTAGTAAAAAAATAGAACCTCCATCAAAGAGGCCTAAAAAATTTAAGGAAAAAGAAGATCCCAGAATAAAAGATGCATTTCGGATGCTAAAGGAGATCCATGAAAAATATACTTTCTCACAAAATGAACCTGCAAATCGTTTTGCGATATTTGGACAACACGTTGCGGCGAAATTGAAAACTTACACTTCAAAAACAGAGGCCATAGTGGGACATTTAACAAACAATATTTTGTTTGACGCAGTAAATTTGACACAAATTCTACAATTTCCACGCCTACAGCTAGTCCTAATATCTATAATCTACCCCATCAGGGTCCAGCAACTCCTCACACAAGTACTCAGCCTGGATCAAGTTCAAGATCAACAGAACCTGATCAATTCGACAATGAATATTTGTTGCAACAATTGCCTGCAATTGCAATTGCAATAGAGGTTTTTTGTTTGTCATTATACATATTCTTTTAGTTCAATAAAGACTATTATTTTATATGTACTTTTTAATAAAAAAATACCAAAATTGACTTACCTTAATTTGATCTTTCAAAACTTCTATCAGCGCACAACAAACTTCGGGAACAATAGTCGAAATTAATTGTTTGGATACTCTAAATAAATACTGTAAGCTAGTGTATGAGTCTCCAGTTGCTAAAAAGCGAAGTGTTATTGCTAGACGTTCTTGAACCGGAACAGCATGTCTGAATTTGGTGTCCTGTTTTATAATTTTTGGTCCAATGCTATTAACTAAATATTCAAAATCCTGTGACGATATCCTAATAAAGTTTTGAAACTGTTCAGAATGCAACTGCCGTAAAAGTTTAGAGCCCCCCAAACATCTTCGGGTTCTATATATTTCGTGGATCCAGATTCGCTTTGGTTTTTTGATTTTCTCTTTTTTTAATAATGTTGAAATCACTATATAAGCAGCACCAGCAATAATTACTTCTGCCATTATTTACAACACGAATGACCGGAAAGGACTGAAACAACACACATGCGTGCGGAGAAATAAATTTGAACAAATGTACCGAGTCGATGCACACGCATATGCATGTGCATGCACCTCGACTCAACGCACACACATTCAAGTCAGTACGCAGCTTTAGATGAGATCGCGATATGCTAAATTTGTGTTGGCAACATTTACGTATCCGGCCGATCTGATTGGTTGTAGTACTGACCATGCGCATGTATAGCCATAGGTAGCGCGATGTTCATTTTGCGGCTGCATTACCTATTGCAATTTGTGCCGTGTTTTACCAGTGTGATATTTTTATATTTAGAAATGGATAAAATTGTGTTCAACGAACAAGAGAAACTATTTTTAGTGCAATAAGTTATTAATGAAAAATCCATTTTAGAAAATGAAGGAACCGATGCGGCCACTTCAAAATTAAAAAATGAAGTATGGGAGAGATTACTTCAATGTTCAGGGGTTCTCAAAATGTTCCTCTAAACAATTGAGAAAGAGCTGGGAAAATATAAAACATAAAATATTTTAAATATTATATCAAATAATATTCTCCTTAAAAAACGAAAGTTGAATACAATCATAAGACAGCAGCAACTTATGAAAGGCGGTGGTCCCTCCATAAAAATAAAGGACGATCCCGTCATAGACTTTGTGGATGGAGTTGCTCCAAATTTAGATGCAGAACTAAATTGTTTTTGGAACAATACAGCGGTGTATGAACAAAAATGTGTGCTATTCATTACACTAGAGATATACTATATAAATATGCTAAAAAATATATTTTTACAGATTCTACAAATACAGATGTATCTACTCTAAATACGAGTATAAATAAAGCAGTAGTGATAACATCAGAAACAGTTGGTACTTCAAATGTACCTGGACCTGCGGTATATGAACAAAAATGTGTGTTGTTTCCGATATTAAACAAATTTCTGCTAAATTACATTTTTTACAGATTCTTCAAATACAGGTACATCTACTCCAAGTACAGCTAGGACTGTTGTGGTATCAACAGAGCCGGCAAGTAGGAATGTAACTTGACCTGCAACATTATGGTTGTTGGGTTAGTGCGCATGGCTGCCAGGCCCCCCCTCTGAAGGAGGAAGCGAAAGAAGCGCGGAACAGTAATATGAAGTGAGTCTGGCACGTAGGTAGTTGAGGTTTGGAGTCACTTGTACGTTCTAATTTAATGGTAATAAATAGTAAATGTGCAACTGTGCTTAATTCATTGGGTTGTTTGAGACAAGAGAAAAAGGTAGTGGGGGTCATTGTAAAAACAAAATACAGTCCACTCCCGAAGGCACCCCACATAATTTGATCCTATCGAGACGGATTATAGTTCTTGGCATTGGGTAGTCAAATTGAAAACATTTTGGAAATTGGAAATTGGATTTGATTACATTTACAAGGAAGAGGGAAGGCGACGCGCACCTACAAAAAACCACAGTCAACGAGTCAACGCAGAGCAGCGCACCCGCACCTGCAAGCCGGCCAACAACAGGCAGCACAAGGTCGTATCCCGTCTCTTTTTATTCCTTTGTTATTGGCTCATAAAGTTTGAAATATTTTCGTGATTAAGACAATACGGCTTAATTATTTTTTGATACACATTACGTGTAATTACAAAATTAGTTGCTACACCTACTCAGGATAAAAACAATAGAAAAGTGGCGATTGACTGCAGTATTACAAAAATTGGTAAATTGAAATACCTAACAATATTACAAAGTTGGTTTACTTAATACAGTTTGCGTATACCTAAATTGCATTTAAATTGGTTTCAACCATGTCGGAAAGGGACGCAGAAGTATTAAAAAAATTAATAATAAAGCGTGGCCAAATAAAGGCGCAACTTACGAAATTTCACAACTTTGTTATAGATTGTCAGGATAAATGGTTTGAGTTAAAGGCTCGCAAACAAAAGATTGAATTACTTTGGGAAGAATTTCAATCTATTCAACTAGAATTGCAATTAATTGATAGTGAAGCAGATCTTTCTACTGAAACAGAATTCTTTGAAACAAAATATTTTGAGGCTGTGGCTCTAGCGGAGTCAAAACTGTCAAATATGTCGCTGGAGACGGTTGAAAATCGGTCTTCGACTCCAAATGACTCTTGTAATCGCACAAATATAGGTGTAAAATTGCCAGATATTAAACTACCGGAATTCAGCGGAGAATATGAAAAATGGACG